GTTCCATTCAATTTCCAAGAGAAGGTTTTTGCACATCTGTTTTTATTGTAAGGTGATAATTGGCGAAAAAAGGTATGCATAATAAACTTCATTTGGGAAAACAACCTTACCGTCCACAGGACAAACATAAGGTTTTTCTCCTGTATGGACAAGCATGTGGGTCTTTAAATGACTTGATCTTGTGAATGATTTAAGGCAGCCTTCATGGAGGCACATAAATGGTCTCTCTCCCGTGTGTTTCCGCATATGCCGCTTAAGTTTATAAGCACTTGTGAAAGACCAGCCACATCCCTGAACAAAAAAGACACTGTGAAATGAATCAAATCTCTACAACAATCATTGTCAGACAGGAAACAGAGACATTTAGGGGAATAGGGTATCTAAAATACATGTAGGATAAAAATGGTTAAAGCGCACCATGAGCCAAAGACGCCCATAAGGCCAGAGTGTATAATAGAAGAACATAGGGTATACCTGCTAACTTTTTACGTTTATAGGCGTGACATTTTTTATCTTAAGAGTGCCAAGATTTTTTGTAGGGTCTGATAATATCCGAAGATGTCCGAAAACATTCTCAAGACTTCCGAAGATGTTACTAAGAGTTCCATCTAACACGAACATGGGAACACAAAGGAACATTGACTTCCCTACTAAAAAAAGAGAATTCGGAGAAAGTCGATCATCCACATAGACTTCTCTTTTCTCTCTTTGGTTTTGGTTTGTTTGAATAATTAATATATTTTTCAAATGTGTCAGTTAATGCTGTAATGGCTCAAACTTTTCCACCAGGCATGACAAATTGGAACACAGGTGAGAGTAGGCGTGAGATCCAAGTTTTCAATCTGCAGGTGTGACACTTGGCAAGTATAATAGGGGTATTACCACTCCCTACTGGATAGAAAGCTAGTCTATTGCAGGGTTATACCCACCAGTTTGCAGTCAGCACTCATTTATACACTGTGGTGAAGTGAGACATACAGTAGAGAGAGGTTCGACTGTAAACATAATATTATGATAGTTCTACCTGTACTTCACAGTGAAATGGCCTTTCACCCGTATGTGACCTCAAATGCAGCTTTAACTTTGATGCCTTTGTAAACCTTTTCTCACATCCATCTACAGGACATGCATGTGGTCTTTCTCCACTGTGAATCTTCATGTGGGCTGTTAAAGTCCCATTGGCAGAGAACACCTTACCGCACCCCTCCATTTCGCATTTATAT